GGAGGAGGAGGAGGGGGAGGGGGACGAGGGGGAGGAGGGGTAGCTCAGGTATCAAGAGGAGCTCACAGGGGTCCTCCGAAAGCTCAAAAGGTCCGTCCATGATCGACAATGTCTCCTGAGCATGCGATCTTAGTACTCCACCCCCGAACTCCATCCTCCTCCTTGCCCAGCTCTGCTCCTTGCTCTCCTCCCCCGTGGACTCCGCTTCCCTTCCTCTTCTCCTCCCCTCTCTCCCTTCCCTTCCGCTCCACCTGCCACTCTCCTCCCTCCTCCTCTTCTGCCTGCTGCTCATTCTCTCACCGCAAGGTTTCTCTTCAACCGGGCCAGCAGCGCCATTCTCTGCCCGTCCGGACTCACTGTGATGGTAGCGAACCTGCAACGTTCTCATTGACTGCATCCTCTTCCTCCTCCTCTCCTCGCTCCTTCTCTGTCCTCCCCCTGCTTCCTCCACAGCACCCTGCTCAGTTTTCGGCCTTACCCTTCGATTTCTGTCAGCACTCGTCTCGCTTTCTTGCTCTCTCCTTTGTTTGCATCCGCGACAACCACAAACTGCGAGTCCCCTGGGCACTGGAGTGAACACCAGCAAGATGATGATGATGATGATGATGATGATGATGATGATGATGATGATGATGGAGATGGTGGTGGTGATGATGATAAAGCATCAAGGGCCCACCTGTGTTGGACCTCTCGACGAACGCCACGAGCTCCTCGCCGTTCTCTCCTTTGATGGGAAACCATTGAGGGCACCTGGACAAATTCGCATCATCTCTGTGAGAATGAAGCAAGTGGAACTGGAGAAGGAGTGAAAGAAGCTGATGACAACACAAGGAGCAAGTCAAACAAAACAAGATCGTCACAAACAAACACAAGAAACATCAACATCATCTCCACAACACCCTCCACTACATCACTACGATCCGAGCACAAGGAAGGCGTGCGAGATCGAGGTCCGCACAACCTGAAAGCACCAGGGCGCGAGGACAAGATCACTTCCTGCCCATCAAGAGAGAGCGGCTCGATCACAGCAACCTGAACGTTCATGTCAACATGCCAGCGGCAGCAGCTCTCCGGGACCTTCTGCTTGTTCCCAATGTGCATGAGGATCCTTTTGTCTCGCGGGGAGGGGCAGACGAAGAGAGGAGCACCTTCTTCCAGGTGCATGATAGATCCACTCTGCAGAACCTTAAGACGTTCTCCCCCTCCTCCCCTCTCCCCTCTCCCTCCCTCCCACGCTCCTCGATCTCTTTTCTCACAGGAAGCAGCCCTCGCTCGTCGCCTGCAAACACTCGAAGGATGTCCATGGACACTTGCCAGCCCTTCATCTCATGTCAGTCGAGACTTCAACATCATCTTTCGTCTCACCGCCTGCGCGGGACCGTCCGCATATGTCGTGAGGTAGACCAAACCCCTCGAGTCCGGCTGGCAAACAGGTCATGCTCTCCAAACAGTATGCTTCATCGTCACCATCACCATCACCGTGCCCTAACTCTTCATTGTCCTGCTCCTGCTCCTGCTCCTGCTCCTGCTCCTGCTCCTGCTCCTGCTCCTGCTCCTGCTCCTCCTTTTCCTAATGAGCTCATCCTCATCCTTCTCTTTCTCCTTCTCCTCCTCCTTCTCCTCCTCCTCCTCCTCCTCTCCATCATCATACTGGCATTATCTCATCATCGCGAGGATTTGGAATCTCACCAGCCAGAAGTAATAGAAAGGAATGAAGGGGGCCGAGACTTCAACCAGCTTTGTCCCATCGAGGGCCCAAAAGATCTCGATCACACTCTCTTTGATCTTCAAGGGCTTTCCATCCGGTGGAATCTCCTTCAACTCAAGTCACGACACCTCCAAACTCCCTCCGCCCTCCTCCTCACGATCTTGGCGGCTACTATGAGGTCGCCTCCAGGACTCCACGTTGGCTGAAGGAACTGGGCCTTGTCCATGCTGTTGCCGACGGGGACGATGCTTCCTCCGTCAGGACGGCAGGTGAGCAGCTTTCCCTCACGTGTCATGACGAGCAGGCGGTTGACTCGCGCGCTTCTCCTCTTCTCCATCACTCCGAGGGAACGGGAGGACACCGCGTCGGAGAGCTTCTGCTTGATGGCCGAGGCCTTGTCGAAGTCTTGCTTGTTGACAGACTCACCCAGCTCAAGCAGGAGCTTCGCTACTTCATCTCCTTCCCTCGCCTTCTTCAGCTCGTCTCGTACCTTTGCTGCTTTCCCATAATCCTCCAGCTTCACTGCAAGCTTCAATTCTGACTCCAAGTCGTAGAGATCGCAGGGTAGCTTCAGTTGACCGCTCGATCCATCACCCAGACTCATCCTGCATGGAATGTTTCCTTGTCGTTCTCGTCCCGCGCGAGTCGTGAAAGTTCTCCTCATGTTGCTGGCGGAGGCAGAGCGATGCCAGGGAAAGGACGCAAGACGAGAGGAAGTGGAACAAGGTAGAGCAGAGGGAGCGAATGCCTTGGAGCAGGAGAGTGGAGTGGAGGAAGAGGAGGAGACGGACCTGGGAAACTCAAGAGGGGGAGAGGGGGAGCCAGGAAGGAAGCAGCTGGCAGCTGCGGCCATAGAGACGAAGAGAAGCGCGCTCAAGTGCATAGGCGCTTTCAATATGCCTGGTTCCATGAAGGTGAGGGTGGGGTTGTGGTGAGATCCCAGTAGTAGGGGTGTTATCATGCTAGAAATATGGGGTACACATGCCATCCCAGTAAACAAGGAGGGTACAAGTATGTATGGGTGGGTGGAAAGGAAAAAGTTATTAGAACGGGTGGTTCTGACCACATATCTCCGTCCAAGTTCAAGGTGGGTGGGGTATTTACACCCCATCACCCCTTGATTCTACTATACCAGGAAGGTAGGGGTCATCTCATGCTGCCAGTTCCGAAGTTCCGAGTTCCCGGAGTCCGCCGGCGGCGGGCCGCACTCTGAGTTCCCGGGCCCCCGGAGTCCGGCGGGCCGGAGTCTGTCGGCGGGCCCGGCCCCGGGGGCCGCGGCCGCGGTCACCGGGCGGGAGGCCCGGGCCCCTCCGGGACTCCCGGTCGCCCGGTCACCGGCCGCAGTGGCTGACCGTGACCCCGGTACTGCCCGTACCCAGGCTATGACTCAGTGAGCTGACTCGGCGGCCCAGTGGCAGGCCGGCGGCCCGGTAAGGCTCCGCCGCCGCTCCCAGTCTGTGACCCGAGGCTCGGCAGCTCAGCCTCGGTTCCGATTCCAGAGTCCGTCCGACGGGGCGTCCGCACTCAGTCACCGTGGCACCGGGCCCCGGCGCTACTACGGCCGGTCAGACGGTGATGAACTTCCGAAACTGTCGGACTCGGAGCCGCCGCAGGCTGCCCGGAACGTCGGACAGAGTCAGCGGCTTCAAGTTGCCAAGTTGTGCGCGGCCAGCCTACTGTTGTATAACTAGTAATACATGATAGCCTCTAAATACAAGCCATCACCGGCATGATACTTCAAACAGGCCGGGCTTTAACTTGGGCAGCACATGAAAATTTCTGCTTTATGTACATGAACGTTTGAAACAAATTTAGAAGTACTGTACTAGAGGCTAACTCAGTCAGCATCTCAACAGGCCGGCCAGGTTGGTCAACACTGAGGCCGGCCAGGTTGAGCTGGCAAGCAGCCTGACAGCAATCCACACTACCATAGTCTGCTGTGATCTCACTGATCATTCACGCAAACGCCTGAGTTAAAAGTCGCCGCCGATGTCGCCACCGGCGTCGAAACCCGCATCTCCATTGACCTCAGCAGGTGGCTGAGCATTCATGTTTGGCTGAATGCCATGGTGTCCTGGGACGCGACGGTCAAGAGGGAGAAAGAACTACAAAACTGCTTCACCATAGTGATCGTGCGAAGCCATGGCATTCCCTATCATCATCCCACCGAGCATTCCTGTAGGGAGAGAAGATATTATATCGCCATCAAGATGAGTTTGAGCTTCTATTTCCAACCTGCACCGACCCCCAACATTCCAGCAGTCCCAGCCGACATCCCGGAATTCTGTACGCAGAGTCATCAACATGTGGCAGATGACTAAGAGTAAGCAGATCGCACAAGACGCAATCACATCACCTGATACATCGGCGCTCCCACAACCTGCCCATACGATGGCGGAGCACCGTTGGCGTAGGGTTGACCATAGTAGGGCTGCGATCTAGTAAGCGTTCCTCCTAGACGCAGGGGGTGAGGAGAGTCACCTGAGCGTAAGGAATCCCTCCATTGCCAGGCATATTCGACATCTCCATATCTGGGTAACTCTGATAGCGCAACATTTGTTGTCTGCGATGCCGTCAGAAAAGCATCTCAGTCTAGAAGCAGCACCTTCTCCGATAGGATACAATACAGGCCACTATTGAGACGATAAGGAACACTGAAGGGAAAGCGGACCGTAAGTCAAATAGGATAAAACTGGTGTAGACAAGAGTTGATAAAGCAGAAAGTAGACAGGATGAGAAGAAGCAAGAGATATAAACACATTTGCTCACCCGGAATAAGAATATCAAGGATAGACATGCTTGCTTCTGCATGACCCGATGAACACCTCGGATCGATGCACTTGCACTTCAGATACGCTGCTCCGCAGGTGTAAGAGATGCCACTAACCTGCATGATCGTGTCAGCCAACTAAACTCAAAAACCATTCACTCTCTCACCGACGTCGGGCAACAGAACTGACCCTTGTTCGAATTGCACACCAAGTGTTGGACTACTTCTGATTTCCCTGAAGCTGGCCAAGGTATTGTGAGTGGCTGTTGTTCCATAGCACGATCGAGAGAGTATCACCCGTTGATGGATAGAAACAAACGCTCTTCTGCTCGATCCGAGAAGCATTGATGCACTGAACTGGGTGTCAAACAACAGCCCACATGGGCATGAAGGGAACTTTACCGCCTGACATGATGACAGAGTGGGTTCTACAGACATATTCCTGTCATCAACAAGGAACAATGTCAGTGCACGGTTCTGACATCATGCCTTATTGCTATTGCTCAATCTATGGTATCGTTCAGGAAAATGGTTCTGCAAGGTGATCAAAATCCGCCAAAGGCAACCATTTGTATCGCGATGTTCAATTCTCAGCATTCTATCCTTTCCCTCTCTGATACCGCCTCATCTACTCAGCATCTCCTCCTCACATCGCCTCTTCCTCTCTTCTTCTCCTCCTCTTGTCGCATCAATTTGCAATGCCCCAGACATGTTGGAAGGCAGACTAGAGTTTGCGTAGATTCTTTTCACTTCACTAGATCTTTCGCGGCAAGGGTCTTACTGCTTGGAGGTTCTCCGAGTCTTATCAGAGTCGCACATAATGATGTTCTAAAATTTGAAATTTACACTACATCATGAAGAACAAAACTTGTTCTCGATAATTCTCTACAAACTTCACCTACCCCTCTCCCGTCTTGGTGAAAGTACTATTGACCACCCACCCCCAAAAGGGTCTCTTGCTAGTCCTCTTGTTTATTGAAAAATGAAGGGTCCGCCCTACCCCCTACCCCAGCATTGAGCACTACCCCTACAGCAGTGACTCATTACCCCACCCCCTCCTTGTCCCCCAATATCCCTTCAGTTCCCCTTCTTTCCGGCACATTCCCCGAGCTCATCCCCTACCTATCTCCACCACCCGTCCCCCATTTTATTTCCCATCGCACGTACAATCACCGTGAGTGATCGGACCGTACAACTGGCCGCCGGGCCCGCCGTGCTCACGGCAGTGGCCGCGGCCAGCCGGGCCGCTCCGAGGCTCCCGGAGCCCGGCCGCCGCGGCCGGCCCCCGGGCCGGAGGACAGGCTGAGATCCGCGACTGAGTCGAGTGGCGACTCAGTGACTCGCGCCGCCGGCCCGGGCCCGGGGTCGGACTGAGAGTGCCGGCAGCGGCCCGGCGGGCCTGGCTGATTCAATCATTGAATGCCGCGGCCCGGCCGCTGAGTGGCAGCCAGCCTGGCTGGCAGTGAGCGCGGCGGCGGGCGCTGTAGTGAATGATGTCCGCGATGATCATCGGATACAAGTGATACTGGCAGGGCCGTGTGATTATCTCCAAACTTCATCCTTCTCGATGTGGTCTACGGTGTTCCAGTCAAAGTCTTCCGACTGTCGCTTCTTCCTTTGAAAGTTCATAGCCTGTCGAGTCACATCCGAACGTGTCAGCTGTGACAAAAGTGATTGAATCAGCTCGTAGTCTGACCTTTGGCAGCTTGGTCACGTAGCTGCTGGTCGAGTCCTCCTTGCTCAGCCCCCCAAACGAGCTGGGCGAGTCATCGAAGACAGATTCCTTGGGCCTCTTGTAACCGACTCGTCCTCGAGGCTCCGGCTGTTTCTTCCCGGTGAAAACGTCGCTAGCCCAGTCGATGAGCGGGTGGATACTCAGGAAAGACGCCTGCAAGTGTTATGTCAGGAGGGAGGGGCAGTGGCTTGCCAGGCAGTGTTGGGATACCCCGAAGATGGAAGGACCAGATGGCCAGTGCAGCCGGAACGGACTTCTCAGTCCTCGCAAGGTGAGGGATTGAGCCTGTGAGCAACCCTGCCCTTGTTGTGAGGTCTAGGAAGGAAGAAGGAGGGGAGGAGGAGGGTGAGACGGCGGACGAGTAAGCATACCCGACAGTGAGGATAGAACCGCTGGCTCTCTCCGAGGGAGACGATCTTGTTTGGAGGCTGATGATCGCAGATCCACTTCTTGGTCAGCCCGAGCACTCCACCAGGAAAGCGAGACTGCCATGTATATCAAGGAGGCCTCGAGGTCAATGGGAGGACACGAGCGCATCTCACCCCGCAATGATGACATCCTCTCTTCCAGCCGACTGTTGTGAACCATCCCAGTCAGCCGATGCGGCACCAGGGCAGGCAGTCTGACCTTGTCCGACACGAACTCGTTGACCATAAGTGGCGTAGTTCTCTCCTCTTGTCTCAACCCACTCGCGCGCAAACACGCCTGCAGGGGAGGATAAGGGGGTCAACGCGCCTGCTCGCGCAGCAGAGGTTGACCTGGCTTTGTCAGATCTGTCGGAGCGATCGTGCGGAAAGCTCCTCGGAGAATGAGCTTGTAGAAGATCAGAGAAAAGAACAGGTCTGACGGCAAAGACTTGCGTCATGTGGCTTCTCGATCTCACATGACTCGTGTCACCTTGCAGGCGGTCGATGTTGCTCCGCTCGCGAGAAGGAGCCGGTCGGCGGCCGTAGAGCCTGTCAGCATCAACATGACACGTCATTGTGGCTTACAAACTTCCCTTCTCCTACCTCGGCGCGTTGGAACGCAGCGTCTGGTACATATTGTGTGATGCCTCCCCAGCAACCAGTCCAGCAACAGCCACCGAGTTGAAGCCGATGACGCTAGCGGGAAGACCCTTGGATGTGTAGTGAGAAATCTTTGCTGCTAGGCTGATCCCTTGACCGAGCTGCAGCACGCACACGTAGGAGACAACGGCAGCAACAGAGCAGGCGACTCGTTCGCTCAGGATGGGATCGTTCTGCCTGAAGTTCAACCATGGAACAAGGAAGAAGTTCTTGGCCGCCTTCCCTCCTGGCACAGCATCCAGCGCATTGCTGCAAGCTCGAGATGCGTCGGACAAGACCTGCTGGGCTTCTTTCCCCATCCTCGGCACTTCGATGCGCTCCACAAACTTCATGGAATCCTGCTGCCACTTTTGCATGTTCTGACTGATCGAGTTCAGCATGTCACCTGTGGCGATCAAGAGCATCAGTCTTTGACACGTGTCAAGGTGTGTGTGAGTGGCTCACCGACGGGCTCAGGATCCTTGCCTCCTCGCAACCGCATTGAAAGATCTCCCACCCCGCGCGGCAGTCGGACGAGGTCGCAATGTGCATGGATCGGCAGAGGGCTGCTCGGCATTGCGAATTTCCCTGTCTTGTAATCTGCCGAGGTCATCACCATCAACTGCAGGATGATGACGACTTTGCCAGCGATGCCTGAACATGAAACCATCCTTGCTGTAAACCCGAGGCCGCCGCCTTATCCTCCTTCGCTTCCTCTTATGGCCGTCTTCCAACGACAACCCTACACTACCGATGATGCAGCAAGTTGATCGGACGATCCTCTTCAAGCTCTCCTCTCTCCTCTCTATCTCTCCCTCTCTCCTCGCTTCGTTCTCCCTCTTTCCTGGCACCTCACCGCATTTTCTCGTCCAATACCGTTTGCACGACCATAGTCAAGCAGTTACGGCTTGATAGTCAATGGGATTACAGTCAACTTCCAGTGATCATCATGCCCGGGCCGGGCCCGGCCCGGCCGATCGCCGGGTCCGGCCCGGTCCGGCTGAGGGCCAGCGCTAAGTCACTGAGATGCACTACAAAACTTGGTTACAGCCCGTTACGAGATCCGAGTCGGAGGAGTGGGCCTGCCTACTACTGCGGTGCTCTCTCCATCGGTATCGGATATACTAGCCTAGAAATAACTTATCATTCAATCATCCCGGCTCCTGATCATGGCAAAGATGACTACAGTTGAGCTGCTAGAACAGTTCTATCATCATTCTTTCGCATTCCCCTTTAACTCTTGCGTTCCCTCCAGCTTAGGACGATTCGCCTGTAGTCTCTTCGTTCGAGATCCCCAGCTCTTTCTCCAACCTCCATGAGGCGTAAGAATCTTCACAGCACGGTTGCTCACCTCGCAAACCTGATGCATTCTGCTTCAATGCGCATGTTCTTGGTCACAGCCAACTGATATCTGCAAGCATGCGTCATTGAGAGCAAGAAACACGTTTATGCGCACCTTTCGCTCAAGCGCCTGATCTTGTTCTCCATCATGAGCTGGTCTGCCATTCTCTTCCTGTTGATCTCCACCACCTCCAGTTGCTTGTCAGACGGGCAGCCGACGGGGGGAGGCTTTACCTTGGCCTTCATCTGGTCGTTTTCGAATTTGTAGACTTGATTCAAGTCTTCAAGGCCCTTCACTCGTGTCATCCTGCTAGCAGGCGGCAGCATGGCACGGCTCACCGAGTTGTAAGCTCTCCAGGCGTTCGAGCCATGTTGGGCGAGCATCTCGGAGTTGTACTGCAAGGATGAATGAGCGACAGCAAGGCAAACAGCAGCAACTTTACCCCTCGCGCTGTGGTGAGCTCGTGGTGAGCCTGGGCAGTGCGGACAGCCTACAAGGACAAGCATCAGTCGGGCCGACTGACATCGCCCGAGGTCTGTTGCTCACCTCCTTCCATTTCTCAGGATCTGCAGCATCTTTCCCTTGCGGCGCATGGCACTCATACCTGAAACCACACAATCATCACTGACAAGAAAACATCTGGTAGAAATGAACAGAGATTGCAGATATCAACAGCACACGGATTGACCTTGTTATGCTCACCTTGACATATCAAACTCAGCGAACTTGTACTCCTCGTCTTGCATCATTCTGTCATATTCTGCACGCAAGGCGCTTCCTTCGGGCAAAGACAGGGCGGGAATCTTGGGAAAGGTATCAGGTCCTGCACTGTTCCTCGAGCATGGTTTACCGGCGGCAGGGAGGAGATGTAATCTTCCGGCGCAAATGACTCCATCTCTTCCTCTACCATCCTTCAATCTTCTGTCAGCGCAAACATCGCTCCCACACATGAACTCAGCACAGCGTCAACAACAAGAAGGAGGGGGTCAAGGACTAGTGATGCACTTCGAATGAAGGAGAGCCGCTTCGAGACACGAGGAGGAGAACAGAAAAAACAAACGCAGATAGAAGGGAGAATCAATGTGAAGTAAGCAACCTATCCACAACTTGTCGATAGTGCGGGTTATCATACTCCTTGTCAATGTAAGGCAGCGCGTCCACCACAATCTGATGCTTGTTCTGCCCCATGTGAGATCGCCTCCTCCCACACAGCCACGTCTCTCTGACCTGGATCAATCGTGCAAGGCAGTTGGGGAGAGGAGCTTCGCCCGGTCTGGTGATGAGCTGACCGTCGTTTCCTCCAGCAGCAACGAGTGCCATCTTCATTCAAATCAGCAGAGAAAAGGTGGAGCAACTTTGAGGATTGCTTTACATGCTACACCATCTAAGTCTTTGAAACAGATGTTTGAGCTGCGTACTAAGACTGGCATGTCGTTTCTGGATATCGATATCTTTCCTCTGTAGTCCCTCCTCCCTCCCATGCCACTATCTCCTCCCTGTCGTACTGACCCCTCAGTAGTCTCGCGTGAACATATCCCGACACTTGAACTCAACCTCTTTCTCATCTCGTTTTTGTTCATACTTGCACTTCTTATTTTCACTCTTAGCATCAACCAACACACTATCTCCCTCCACTTCAAATCCTTTCCTTGGTCCACCGTCCCCTCCAACCCGTCCCTGCCTGCTCCAAAGCTCCGAGCAACGTCCATCTTTCCATTTGTCTGCTCCTATCTCCACGGTCCACCCATGAGTTGCTGTGATGTGCTGTGCTGTACTTTAGTGCTGACCTCTGCTATACCTTCATCTCCTCTCCTCCCTCCCCATCCCTCCCCTTCGTTTCGCTCCCCTGCACCGCCATCACGCGCCCGCCGCAGGAAGACCAACTAATATTATAAAATGTTTTTATAAACAGATATAATTATTTTAAAAGTCATTATCACCTACAATGAATTAGTTAACTGGGTTCAACTTTTTCTACTGATCAATATTGTTTTAAAGCTCAAAGCGGGGCGGACTTGATTTCCATCAACTAAGGTTTCAAATGACACTCTTTTTATTTCAAAGTTTTCATTAGAATTTCAAGTAAGCTTGAATGTTGATACAAAGTCCAGATCCTGGCCGACACAAAAAAGTGTCATGTCGTCGGCTCAGGCTGCGGGGCAGGCTGGCAATGAGCGGCGGCGGAAGGAGCGGAAGAGAGAGGGGGAGGAAGAGGGAGGGAGACTCCGAGGAAGAGAGAGAGTGATGGAGGAAGGGGAAAGGAAGAGGGAGCGGGAGGAAGAGGGTGCCACGGACAGTCAGTCAGTCAACGGTGTGCAGCTTAACACGTTAACTGCGGCCCCTGCATGTTATGAAAAAATCGAGGAGGAAAGGAGGCCCATTAGAGGATTCAGCCTCAGCGGAGCTCGAAGGCCCGGGAAGAGGAAGAGGAAGGGGAAGAGGAAGAGGAAGAGGAAGAGGAAGAGGAAGAGGAAGAGGAAGAGGAAGAGGAAGAGGAAGAGGAAGAGGAAGAGGAAGGGGAAAAGGACGCACCAGGCGGGTGCAAAGCTGGGGAAGAACAATGGGGAGGTGCGAGGAAGTGATGTAGAGGTGTTCTAACAAGTAGTGACGTCATAGATTTGCTCTCACAGACTAGAACGGAGACCAGGGGATGCGGCTCTGACACGAAACAGGAGTCACAGGACAGGAGGGGAGCTCACGATACGATAGGATCCTGTGCGGGATGGTGAGACCGAACAGAGCTGACGGCTGCGGACTGACGGTGGTTGCCAGTCGAGATCTCTGAGTCTTGCTCTGAAACAAGTTGAAATCAACAACACGAGGATGAGCAAGACGGTCTTCGAGCAGATCTCAGGCGAACCCTCCCTTAGCATGCTGTCGCCAAGACCCGAAGTCTCGCCGAGACTTGCGTCGCCGAGGAGGTGAAGTCCCTTCCCTCCTGTTCTGCTTCCTCCTCATCTCACCATCAGCTCGGGACGCGACCCCCTGCCGTACACTCCGAGGAGGTGTGTGCTCCTTGTGGAGGCTGCGGGGAGGGAGTGACTGAGCTTGCAGCTCCCAACGAGAACCCTTTTCTCCTCGCCGATATCCGACGCTGGAGTCGAGGACGCCGAGGAGCGAGGGAGGAGTGAGAGCGGCAGTGATGGCGGAGCAGGAGAAGGGCTCCGTTGGGTTGAGACTGCGCGATCACCACGGAAGGGTGTTGGTGTCGGGGATGGCGGTGGGGGGAGCTGCGGAAAGTTGCGGAGCGATCATGTTGCATGATGTGCTGGTGGAAGTGGGAGGGAAAGATGTGCGGGGAGCGAGCGCGGCCAGCGTGATGGACATGCTGGAGGGGACGGTTGGGACGTCGGTATCGATCACCCTCAGGAGGGAGCGGCAGGGGGACCGTGCGGTGCATGTGATGCTGAGGAGGGAGAAGCGGGAAGAGAAGATGGCCACCCCGAGGAGAGAAGTGAGCTTGACAAGGGAGGAAGAGAGCAGGGCAGGAGCAGGAGCAGGGGCAGGAGCAGGAGCAGGAGAAGGAGCAGGAGCAGGAGCAGGAGCAGGAGCAGGAGCAGGAGCAGGAGCAGGAGCAGGAGCAGGAGCAGGAGCAGGAGCAGGAGCAGGAGCAGGAGCAGGAGCAGGAGCAGGAGGAGGCAGAGCAGGAGCAGGAGGAGCAGGAGGAGTCAGAGCAGGAGAAGGAGAATTTTGTGTGAGGACAGAGAGCAGCAGGTACGAGGGGCTCATGACTGACCGAAGAGGAAAGGTTGATACTTTGTCTTGCTGTGATCAGGTTTCATGATGATAGTGGTGGTAGGAGGATGAAGATGCCTCCAAGGCCTCGCCTGTAACAGTCTCTAACAACAACGTCGTCACGGTGAGTTACTTGTACCTGTCCGTGACGAGGGTAGAGTAGATGATTGTCGACTATCTTGGTCTGCTTCCTCCTCTTCCCCTTTCCTCCTCCTTCTCCGTCGAAGACTCTGGGATCCCTTCGTCTTCTCTTCTCTGCACTGTTCTTGTGAAACATGAATGTTGAACTGGTATGTCAGCCAGCCAGCCAGCCAGCCAGCCAGCCAGTCAGTCAGTCAGTCTTGTAACTTCTCCTCAGGTAAACAACTACTCGGCAAACGACCGTCTCATCCGGCAAGATCTCCAACTACCCGACAGATCAAAGAGGCTACGAGAGCTGGAAGATCTGTTATTCAGAGAGGAATTCTTGCCAACAACAACATCTCAAGTCAAGTTGCAAGTCAGTGGACAGCAGCAGCAGCAGCAGCAGCAGCAGCAACAGCAACAGCAACAGCAACAGCAACAGCAACAGCAACAGCAACAGCAACAGCAAATTTTGACTCAACGGAAACCGTTTCCATCTGAGCTCTCCCCGTCAGGAGTTTCGACGTCTCGTCAAGATGAAGAGATCTTGACTAGAGATGAAGATGGGGATGCGACGGCGAACGAACAGATGGCAACGAACAAACAAGAAGAAAGCAATACGGCTGGTGTAGAGGAGAGTGTGATACGACAAGTCGAAGAAGAACCAGATAAGACTGCTGATGCAGAGGAAAGTGTCATATCCGATCTCGAGGACTCAGATACAAAACCTCAAATCGTTATAGAAGAAGAGGATGAAGGCGATGAAGAAGAAGCAGAAGAAGAAGAAGAAGAAGAAGAAGAAGAAGAAGAAAAGGAGAAAGGAGACAGAGATGAAGACGACGACGACGACGACGAAGAAACAGTACATGCCGAACAGCAAGACACATCCACAGCAGCTGTCAAATTCGATGAGCTTTCGTTGTCAGAGCGACTCAAAGAGGAGGACGAGGATGTCTCAGTAGAGAAAGACACTACAACATGTCAACTCGATGAAGAGCTGGATGCTTTAACTTTACATGAACAGCACATTCGACGCAAACAACATCTGCGATCCTTGAAAGCTGCCCTCACAATGGCGAGCATACTCTTGTTGCCCGTCGGCCTCTGACCCACAACCAGGTGGTGAAGGGAAAGGAGAGGGAGAAGAAGAAGCGGTTCCTGCATTCATGGCGGATTTTGACTTCTGGCCTGAAGATGGCTGAGAGTTTGATTGACATGATCGATGCGGCCCGTCGAGACGAACTTGTTCGAGAAGTACTCTCGGTCTGTGCTGCATCTTGTTTACTTTGATCTGTCTGATATCAACCGTTACCTCTCTTCTGATCTATTTTACACTCATCTCCTCTCCTTCTCTCCTCCTCTCCTCCCTCCTCTCCTTCTCTCCTTCTCTCCTTCTCTCCTTCTCTCCTTCTCGCCTTCTCTCCTTCTCTCCTTCTCTCCTTCTCTCCTTCTCTCCTTCTCTCCTTCTTGCGTCCTCCCATCCTGAACTCCTGTTCTTCTTGCTGCATCATTCTTCATCTCCTCCTCTCCTCCTTTTCCCCTTCTCAGGCCTGGCGAGATCTCTCCGAATCTCCCAATCATGGTCGGAGCATCGGTAGCCTTGACGACAGTCAGTGGCTGACGCAGATCCAACAGCTCGACTCGTCTGGTGAGCGAGGAGTAGCAAGAGCAGGAGCAGAAGCAACAAGGGGCTGGGGGGATGGAAGGAAGAGGGAGAAGAGGAGGAAATGAGGTTGGAGTGAGGGCAGAGGAGGATGAGGATGGATATGTAGAGCAGGCAAAGGAGGAGGAGGAGGAGGAGGAGCAGGAGGAGGAGGAACAGGAGGAGGAGGAGGAACAGGAACAGGAGCAGGAGCAGGATCAGGAGCAGGAGGGCTGTATGACATCGAGGCAGGAGAGATCAAGAAATTCAGTTCTCGCGAAGTTGACGACGCACAAACTTCACTAAAGGCAGCAAAGGAGAAAGACAAGGAGCCGATTGGAAGTTCCTCTGCTGTCAAGGTGCTGCTGCTGCTGCTGCTGCTGCTGCTGCTGGTGCTGCTGCCTGCTGCTGCTGCTGCTGCTGGTGCTGGTGCTGGTGCTGCTGCTCCTTCTGCTCTCACTTCTGCACAGCTTTTCTCGGGCCCTGACTTGATCTGCTCACGTTTCTCTTTTTTCAGACTCCCTCCAGTCTCGCCGACGTGGTTCAACTCTCGCTTCCTCGCTACTCGAATGTCCAGCTGACGCCTCGGAGAGAGAAGAAGATCAGAGCCAAGAGGTGGAGGAGGAGGAAGAGGAAGAGGAGGAGGAAGTGGAAGGGGAGGGGGAGGGGAGAGAGGGAAGGGAACGGGGGGGAGAAGTCGTGTGGAGGAAGGAAGGTGCTTTGGGAGATGCGAGGCGCAGCTCTTCTCATGCTTCAGGCAGGCTGATAGGAGCGATGAAGATGAAGAGCATCTTCGGAGGATCGTCGTCAGACTCGAGCACTGATGAGGTGAGGGCTGCTGCTGCTGCTGCTGCTGCTGCTGCTGGTGTGCTGGTGCTGATTGAGGAGGATGAGAAGGAGGCGCATGGTGTTGAGTACTCAAGGAGGAAGGAGGGAAAGGATCTGATCCGAGGATGAAAGTCATTCATTGAACTTGGACCAACTTGTCTCGCATCTCCTTCCCTTCTCCTTCCCCCTCCCTCCCTCCCTCTCCTTCTCTTTTCCTCCTCCCTTCCCTCCCTCCCTCTCCTTCTCTTCTCCTCCTCCCTCGCTCCCTCGCTCTCCTTCCCCTTCCCTCCCTCGCTCTCCTCCTTGCCTGTCCGCCTCTTGACTTGCGTCTTACTCTACATCCATTCATTCAACAAAAAGAATACAAAAGAATCGAAATGGTCGATTATTTACAGTCGATCCTCCTCCTCCTCCTCCTCCTCCTCCTCCTCCTCGCCGGCTCGTCAGCTTACAGGAGCTGCTGAGAGTTTCATCACGATCCTCTCTAGCCTCCTCTGTTGCTCCTCAAGGATGCTCCGTTGCTTCTCCAACCTGCACCTCCCGTCACTTCCCTCCTCCTCCTCCTCCTCCTCCTCCTCCTACTTCTCTTCCTCCTCCTCTCGCTCTCCCCACCTCTCCCTTCCTCTCGTCCCCCTTCCCTCCTCTTTCTTCTCACCTCTTCGTCTGTGTTGTCATCCGTTCCTCAATCTCCAGCAGCTTCTCCTTGAGCTGCTCCACTTTCCTCGAGCTCTCCTCCTGCTCCGCCGTCAGGACCCTCCCTCCTGTGTTCCTCCTTCCCCCTCCTCTCCCTCCTCCAGTGACCTCCTCCTCTTCCCTCCCTTCTTTCCCTTTCCCCCATCTCCTTCAATCCCTTCCACTACCCCTCTCCCCTCGCCCCCTTCCTTTCCATCCTTTCCCCCTTTCATCCTCGACCACGACCAACTCCCTTCCTCTCCTTACCATCACTGCTCCTGTTCCAGTCACTGCCGCCAGCACAAGCCCGTCGGCGTCCATCCCGTCGATTCTCGACTCGTCCGCACCCAACCCGAAGGCCCTGGCGATGTCCTGCGAGTGAAGAGTGAGCGAAGAACTCGAGGAGGGAGAGGAGCGAGCGAAGCAGCAGGATGGAGGAGAACGGAGCAGAGGGAAGAGAGGCGAGAGGAGAAGAGAGCGGAGGATGAGATGAGAGAGGGAAGTAGTATGTCAGGAACGAACGAGGGGAGAATCAGGAGAACTAGGAGTAGGAGTAGGAGGAGCAAGAGCAGGAGGAGGAGCAGGACAGGAGGAGAAGGAGGAGGAGGAGGGACCTGTGCCATGGGCCCGACGTGTCTCTGGCTCTGACCGATGTAGCTCCACTCGCTGATGTTCACCCCCACCAGCTTCTCTGCGATCCTTCTCCCCTCCACTCTCTCCACCCTCTCCTTCATGCTGCCATCGCTCAGTGACGACCAGGACCCGGAGCCCGGCAGCAGCTGGGCCCCGATCTCTCTGCCCGTCGGGCTGTAGCCAGTCACGAGCGAGACGCCTCCTCTAGCGATGACCTTGAACTGGTTCTCCCCGTCAGTCCTCAGCTCCTGCCCAGCAGGGAGCGAGTCCACAAACAGGAAGCTGCCCGGGTGGACCGGGTTGCCGGCGTCCAGCCCGATGAAGATGCTGGAGGAGGAGCTGGCGACGAGGGAGTCTGTGTGGAGGGAGAAGGAGGAGTCGGTCACGAGGGGGTTGGGGAGGTTGCCGCTAGTGATGACAACGCCGCTGGAGTCGGGGAAGGTGATGGTGGAGGACGAGGATGAGGTCGGCATTTCGAACGTGAGGCAGGGCTGCTGCTCGCCGTTGAGGTTCATCCCGCAGTCGAAGGAGAGCGGAAACTTGCCAAGGATGTTGGAGTTCAGCTCTAGGGACGTCGCGACTGTAGAGGACCCGATGCTGATCCTCTCCCCCTCCAGCCTTGCGGCCCCCGTCACGTCAATCCCCTCCAGGACCCTCAGGCGGTCGAAGGGGATCTGAGAGACCTCTCGGGTGGTCAGGATAGTGCCAGAGGCATCCGGGAGCAGCAGAGTTTGCAGCTTGGACGGCTCCTCGACGTGCAGGATCGTCCTGCCCTCCTTGGAGGTCGACGAGCGGAACTGGAGGCCCTGCGGCACTTTGACGTACGAGTTGTCAAAGTTCAGCCCCAGCGGCCTCGCGACGTCCCCGAGCTTGACCGACTGCTCGAACAAGATCCCACCAGCTGCCTCCAGTCTCCCCTCGAACGTGACGTTGTAGATAGTGGAGGGAAAGTTTCCTGCTGTCAGCAGCGAGCCCGATGCGTCCGGCAGGACCAGGAGGGAGGAGGGGAGGCTGAGGCTGGAGGGAGACAGGATGGTCTTCGTGCCGCTGGCGTGCGACTTGCCGGAGAACTTCATCGCCTCCCTCCCGCTGATGGGGCTGAGGAGGGAGATGGAGGAGGCAGCGTTCACATCCCCGAACTGAACGTCTCCGAGGGTGCTCAGCATGCCTGCTACGGTCCCCTGCGTCAGAACGTTGAGATCGTTGAGGTTGGACATGCGGTCGGCGGTCAGGATCGTGCCCGAGATGTCCTCGAGGAGGAAGACGGCGTCTCCGATGCCCTGGTCCACCTGCACCGTCGTTCGAGTCTGCTCTGCTGAGGAGAACTTGAACGAGAGCGAGTCCTTGATCAGAGAGTTGAACACCATGGAAGGATTTGAAGAGTCCATGTCACCGCTCCCTCTTGCTCCTGCTCCCGTCCCAACCGAGAAGTCTCCACTGATCTCCACGTCGTACTTGACGCTCAAGCTCGTCATCGCCCCAGCATCGCTGGTCACATCCTCGAAGTTTCCAGTTGTCAGGACGACGCCGCTGTCGTATCCGAGGACAACGTCCTCCATCCTGTCGATCCTGGGGAAGAGGTTGTAGGACGCGCACTTGAGGACGAATGCGGTCAGGTTGTTGTTCGGATCGACGAGGGAGGAAGAGTTGATGAAGAAGCTCCTCCTCCCGCACGTCTGCCTCGCCATGTCCACCATCACCTCCCCCTCGTGCACCTCGACCTCGGCGTAGCATGCCTCCTGCATTGGGGTCGGGACGATCCTCAGCCACTTGTACGTCTGCGTTGACACCGTGTCAACCTTGTTCGAGACGTACGCCCCTCCCCAGCTGTCCATCTGCTGGTTGACAAGCAGGTTGACGGGCTGGAACCCCTCGTGCGGGCCTGAGTTGGAACCCTCGAGGACCCACTGGACGATGCTGCTGGAGGGGCTGCAGGGAGCGATCCTAAGGAGGGAGGGGGAGATGGGGCGGCTGCTGTAGTCGAAGGCGAGGAAGGAGCCGGCGGGGATGGTGACATGCGTACTGAGACTGCAGTCGCTCACGTTTGACAGCTCTTGCGGGAGGTTGGAGGGTACAGGCGTCTCGTAGGCGTCTCCTCTCCTGAGCGTCGGCAGGAAGGCTCCTCGCTCTATCAGCCACCTGCGCAGCTCCTGCCTGTCATGGATGCCTTGCGAACCGGTGATGTTTATGCTCTGCTCCTGCAAGATCGAGAAGCAGCGCTCGGGCGTTACGGTCTGCACGAAGGCGAGCACGGAGTCTTCGAGGGGAAGGGAGGAAACATTGAGTGCCTGTGTGCTCCTGGTAATGAACGGGAACCGACACGTGTCGTACACGTTGCAGGACTTCGATCGGAGGTAGCTGGAGCAGCCCTGGTCGTCAAACTGGCAGGAGGAGGGCGAGGGAGGCACGAGGGCGACGCTGTCAGCATCGAACCCGAGGAGGCGCATGAAGTTCGAGTTGCTGCGCAGTGTCAGCGAGTTCTGTAAACTCTGGACGCTGCTGTCAAACATGCCCATGACCTCCACGAACGGCCGGGCCGCAAGCTCCCCGTCCTCGTACTTGCCCGGCTCCCTTAAGTTGAACTTCACCTCTGCTCCGAAGCTCCCCGCAAAGTCGTTGGTCCTGTTGTTCACCCACGCGATCACCTCGGGCAGGGCATATTGCCCAGCTGCAGGGCTGACGAGGGGCGAGCGAGCTGAGAACCTGACTGTACCTTGCAATGAGCTGGACCCGAACATAGGACTCGCAGACTGTCCGTCCTCCCGGCAGATCGAGCTGAGAATCCAGCTCGATCCGAACAGCTCGAGTTGTCGGACGCTCTTCCTGGTTACGACAAGGGGAATGGACGACGCGGAGGTTACGAGACTCGTCAGGTTCTGCAGCATGTCAATCTTTGAGTCGCTCTTGACGCCCGCAAGGAGACACTTGTCAGAGGTTGTGTTGGCCACGAGGAGGATGTCATAGCGGTAGAGCTCGGACGAGCAAGGGCTCTGGAGCATCGGGCTGTCGCAGGAGGATGAGGAGGAGCACAGAGCTCCCTGAAGGAAGCAGTAGGTGCGGTTGGCGAGCAGCACGTCCAGCTGCATCAACCATCCTTGGGGGACAGTCACGATATCCTGGGCTCCAAGGTACATGTCGCGCCTGGAGGGCCGCAGGGAGTGCAGGAGGACGTTGTGGGTGCTGGTGAAGTCCTTGTTGAGTACGTAGGAGCTGGAGTCTTGCACGGGGATCTTGAGCCTCTGCGAGCCCTGGGTCAGGAAGAACTCTAGAGCCGCATCGATCCCTTCCATGTCAGGGGCAGCGAACTTGGTGCCTCCCTGGTACTGGACCTTGGAAGCGACGTCGAAGGCAGGCTTGAAGGTCAGCCCAGTCTCTCCCGCCATGCTGGTGTACATCATGACGGCATTGCGTTTGATCCCGTCCTCGTTCACGTCCAAGTGCCCGGACCCCCTGACACACCTCTCGTCGTGGTGTTCGAACCCGTCGCACGTGACGGTCCTGCTCTCCCTCAGGTACTCGGGGGCCTTGAACAGCAGGCCGGGCGTCACGAGCTCGGGCGTCGGGTTGCCCAGCGTCACGTCTCCTTCCATGGCAGCGTTGGCCCCGACGGAGAGTGCGTTGTAGGGGATGGCGACGGCCGGGAGGTTCTGCATGTTCCCTGTGGTGATGACGGTGCCGCTAGCGTCGGGGAACAGGAGCTCTCTCTTGTATGCGCACTCGTCCCCTGCTGTGCAGTAGTTGCACTTCTCCAGCTGCTCCTGCACGCCCTTCCCGCGGCACAACTCCGGGATCCAGTCGGCAGTGCCGATGGTGGTCAGGTCCTTGACGGTAGGAGGAATGATGTGCAGGGCTGTCGTGGGGAAGGGGTAGCAAGTCGACCCCTGGCATGCTCGGTTGGCGAACTGCATCTTGCCGACGATGACGGACTCGTACTTGTCGAAGGAGATCACGGTGAACCCGGAGTCAGTGAGGGGAGACACAAGGGACCCGACGTAGTTGTCAGCGTCCAGGTCCAAACTGAGCAGGGAGATCTTGGTGAAAACAAGGTCGTTGGGGTTGCCGGTCGTGATGACGATACCTGTCCCAGCACACCGTCAGCAGGAGAGAGGAACAAGCACGACGTCACCTGTGGCATCGGGGAAGGTGATACGTTGGTTCATGCTGCCCCATCGGAACAGGTAGATGTTCGACCCTTCCTTGCGGAAGCGAGCCACGTTGTCGTTCTTCCCCGCGTACACGTACCTCCCGTTCACCTCCGCGGACCCAGCGCCTGAGATGACGTAGCTGCAGTTGCGGAAGGAAGGTTCGTAGAGCGAGTCGTCCCAGGTCGTGAGCGGCTGGGTGGGGGTGGCATAGCGGAGAGTCTCGCCGGCAATGAAGGCCTGATCGTTCGAAGCTGAGGGGCAGACGCTGGTGCCAGCAGGAACGATCCTAGGACGAGGAGAGGCTCCGACGAGATCAACGTGGTACTCCTCCCAGTGGAGAAAGTCGTAGGAGCTGTCGACCCAGTCGGTGGGAGCGCAGACGCCGATGGTGATAGTGTCGAAGGGGCTGCAGGGGACAGTCCAGCCGGTCAGCGGCCTCCTTCCCCCTCCCAAGTTTGTTGTGTTTTCCATGTAGTAGGCTATGTCGTCTCCGTCTCGAAACTTGCCGTCGGGCCCCAGGTCGACGAGATACCAGATGCCGCGTGGGGAGGAGGAGTCGACGGTCGTACTGTGGTTGGAGTCAAGAGGAGGAGGGAGGTCAAGGGGAAGGAAGTGAGAGGAAGGGGAAAGTGAGAAAGGGGTAGGAGGAGGAGGTGGGGGGGGGGGAGGGGAAGAGGAGGGAGGAAGAAGGAGGTAAGAAGGAAGAGGGGACGGCAGCAGCGTCACCTGCCCTTGGAGGATCCTGGAGGGAGCGGCACGGGGACGAGGCCGAGGGAAAGAGACTCGCGGGAGCCAGCGGCGGCGAAGTCAACGATCAGCCAGGGGTTGGGAACCTCCACCCCTTGTAGGGTGGTGGTATAGTCTATAAGAGTGTGATGGACAATGATGGGGTCCTGCCCCCTTAGCCCGACGTTGTTGTCAATGTCCTCCAGGTTGCCGGTGGTGATGACGGTACCGCTCTCGTCCGGGAAGACAATGGTGCGAGGGCCATCGGGAGGCTCGAAGATGATGGTGCTGTAGCTGTCAGCCATGCTGTTCTTGAAGACAACTGCGAGGGAGATCAGGATGATGAGGATGAAGTGTGGTGGTGCATGATGATGATGATGATGATGATGAGAAGGAGGAGGAGGAGGAGGAGGATTGTGATGGTGATGGTGATGGTGATGATGATGATAACATTACGATGGTGGTGGTGGTGGTGGTGGTGGCGATGATTGTGGTGATTGAGATGATGATGATGATCATCATCATCATCATCCTCATCATGAGGAGAAGAAGAAGGAGGAAAGATGGAGGAGGAAAGATGTAGGTTGTGGGCGGAGGAAGGGAAGCAGGAGGAGGGAAAACTAGAGGAGAAGTAGGAGGAGGAGTTGAACTTACAGTCTCCAATGAGGTATCCCTGGAAAGAGATCGGGGTGATGGGGAACGGCTTGTTGTAGTGCGTGATGTTGGACCCAAGGGTGACCTGCCCCATCAAGTTGGCAGATGCTGCAAAAGAAAAACGTCAAACGAGCAAGAGATCAAGAAGCTCGGGTACCGTTGAGGTACAGGTAGTCAAGATCGAGGAAGGTCAAGTCCTGTAGATTGCCGGTGGTAATGACGACTCCTGAGTTGACAACGGGGAACTCGATCAAAGAGATGTTGGGGTCCACCAACCCCTTGATCTGAAACCCTAGATGCGTCGCCGAGTTGCCGCAGCCCTCAGCATGGAACGAGTTGCCGCACGTCTCGTACCCCTTTGAGTAGCTCATGGCGGCAAGTGGCATATCAGGCCGCTGGCAGACGTAGGGAAGGGAGGAAGAGCAGTCAAAGGCGTTCCAGTTGCTGTTGCTGTCCATGGCCCCGCACCTCCTGCTGAACGACACCGTGGCATCCATCAGCAGCGACGTGCTGATCTGACTCGAGCTCAAGTACACGTCGGGTATCCCCTGCCCCCTCCACACCCACACGGTGGGGTAGTCTCTGCTGGACAGCCCAACCCAGTTGCTCCCCTGCAAGTTAAGCCTGGAGCGAGCGAAACTTTGAGTTTGCGGGTCAGCGAAGACGGCCAGGAAGCCTCCCCACTCCCGGCAGCTCTGCTGGGCTGACTCCCAGCTAACAGCACCCTTGAAGCTCTTGAAGCACGTCCCCCTCCCGATGCCCTCCCCGACAGCAAGGGAGGTTGCTGGCATCAAGACCCCGTCGCACACGCTCGTCTGCGCAATGAGCATATGGAGCTGGTCACCCAGGAAGAAGTTGTCTCCCAGCCTGACGGTGTCATGGAACACAACGTCGTTACTAACGTGGACGCTCGTGATCGCTCCTGAGCTCGCCGAGATGTCCTCCAGGTTCCCCGTGGTGACGATCGAACCTGCGCGGCAGAATCAGACCTGGCAGAAGAGGAGGGGAGAAGGGAAGGAGGGGAGAGGAGGGGAGAGGGGAGAGGAGGGGAGAGGGGCGAGAGGGGAGAGGGGAAGGAGGGGAGAGGAGGGGAGAGGGGAGAGGGGCGAGGTGGACAGAGGAGGGGAAGAAAGGAAGAAGGAGGAGAATTACCTTGCACTGCCGGCACTTTGAGGAAGGAAATATTGGCGAATCTTCCTTGGTCCTGTCGATACTGCTTGCTGCCAAACCAGGAGCTTCCAGTGAATTTATCGAGCCCCGGACGATGCTTCTGAAACTGCGACGACTATCAGTCAAGAATTTTCTACCACTCTTTGTCATCATCATCATCGTCATCACCACCACCACCACCACCACTATCATCATCATCATCATCATCATCATCATCATCTTCCTTGTCATTGTCATCGTCGTTGTCATCATCATAATCTACATTTCCACATAACATCCGTTGTCATCGTCAAAGCAACAACAGCAACACATCACAACTTGCAAGACTGACCTGCTCGAAATTCAAGATGGTCCTCTTGGACACCTGGACCTCCTTCAGTTCATCTCGTCGACTCTCCTCCCGCTCTCACCTGTGAGCTCGAGCTCGGCAGCGAGCTCAGGTTCAGCGCGAGCTTCCCCACTCCCTCCGGGCTGTCCGGCACCAGCCTGACGCCAGACGAGAACCTGGACTGGCCGAGCCTGACGGCCTTGGAATTGAGGCCGAAGAAGTCGATGCCAGTGACTGCCCCTCCTCCCGCCGCGTACTCCTCCAGCCTGCTGAAGAAGGCGCTGGTCGCATACCCCGCAAACGTCGCGCTGATCTTGCTGGAGAACAGCTGGAGCATCTGAGCCCTGGCTGCCGTCCAAGGGGGCTTCTCCACCAGAGTCCCCATGCTCTTCATTACCCCGTCCACCACGTCATCTTTGAGTGCAGCATGGAGAGCCTGCAGGTCGAAGTCGGCCAGGTAGGGGTGCACCTGCTCGGCTGCTGTCACCAGCTCCCGGCCGGGCCCCGGGTAAGAGATCGGGTTGAAGATCCTCGAGGTTCTCCCGATGTAGGAGTAGCCCGACACTGACTGGCCGAAGTCAAGCCAGTCGTGCAGCTGCACGGCCTTGGCGGCGGAGGCTTCCTTGAGCGCGTTGACGGCGAAGCTCGTCATCGAGCTAGTCAAGTTGTTGATGTCGACCAGGTTCCCCGTTGACAGCACAACTCCGTCGGCAGAGCTGGGAACGTGCACGGTATTGTTCATGAGCGGCTGTCCGCGCTCGTCTGCTGTAGAGCCCTTGACACTGTTGGAGGTGTTGGCTGCCTGCGCGAGAGGGAACGTGATCTCGCTCCCGCTCAGTCCGTACTGCTCGATGCTGTAGAAGTTGAGCAGCTTCGTCACTGGGATGTCGCTGGCAGGGAGCGAGCTCTGAGCGCTGGAGTGCCACTTGACGGCAACAAGGTCGCTGGCAAACCTCCGACCCGAGGCGTTGAAGACTGCTGTCTGCAGCTGAACAACTCGCGACGTCGAGGGGCAGAAGAACTTGCCCGGGTCGTAGGAGGAGGCCGAGTCGAGATCCCCGCACCTCCCGTACCCATCGTACGCCTCTCCTCCTGGTAAAAGCGCCGTCTGATTCCTCTGCCGGTCCAACAGGTCAGGGATGGGGATGGGATTTCCGGCCTCGTGCGTGCGCCAGCCCAGCCCGGGGCGATCGAGCGAGAAGCGGATCAGGACGGTCCGATTGCCCAGCTGGAGATCGAGCTGCTGGTTGAGGGAGGCCACCGCCTCGTCAAGTGTGATGGTGCCGACTGCGACTTTCGCTTCCACCTGAGTCTCGATGCGGGCAAACCCGAAGGAGAAGGTCGACTGAGCCAAAGGGGAGGCGGGGCAGAGCTTGTAGGTGCTGTTGGAACGGTAGCTGGCTGTAACTGAAAACGTCTCTCCCTCCCAGACCTTCACAACCTCGTACTCGATCGAGACATTCTCGCTGAGGACGATCTTCGATCGGTTGTTTGGAAGGCGGTTGGCGTACTCGACCTCGTCGAACGGCTCGTACGCGTCTACACAATCGCACTTGGACACGCCAACTTCGCAGGTAATGTTAGTGATCCGACCGAGACTGTCCTTGCAGAAGCTGCCGACTAGAACCTCCTTGATAGGGAACCAGAAGAGACAGTTGTCGCAGTCAGACTGGAGGATGATGACACTGGAGTTGTCGAGCCCAGCGAGCGAGAAGAGGTGCTGGCAGTCATAGAGGAAGCGATCGGCCAGAGGAAGGGCAAACGCCGTCCTGGGGTCACAAACATCGACGGTCTTGCTGCAGGCAACATGCGTCAACACAGTGACTGAAGACATGAGGTGGAGGAGCTACCTGCTCTTGGCAGTGAGACTGACGCTCCTGTTGAAGTAGCAGTACGCCATGTCCATGACGTACCTCCCGCTCAAGGTGTTGGTCCTCTCCGTTGCATTCACGTACTGCCACTCCACCCCAAACTGAACCCTCGTCAGGTCCTGCGCGCTGGCCTGCGAGACGATGGGAGAGACGAGGGTTCCGAGCCTCGTGATCAGCTCGGATGCGCCGGTGGCGACGACTGTTCCCTGAGGGAGATGTAAGTGACAGAGACGAAGCGGTCAAACGATGGGAAGGGCAACGGAATGACGGGGAGAGGGAGGGAGAGGAAGAGGGAAGGAGAGGAGAGAGGGAAGAGACGAGAAAGAGTGAGCAAGGGATGGAGGAAGAAGGAGCAGGAGAGAAGGAGCGCTGGAGCAGCCATCGCAAGAAGAGGAGAAGACGGGAGCTAGTCAAGGCACCAAGGTGTCGGGGAGTGTGAGCTTGTGATGCTCGGATGGATCCACGAAACCCACGCCCGTCGTATAGTTGAGCAGTCGCTCGTGCACTGGCTCTGACCACAGCGGCATCGGCCGCTCGCTCTGCTGCCCGACATTGCCTTGCGTGCACTGAACCGTGATGGGGCTCTCGAGCGTGAAGTTGCGCTGCGCGTATAGGGAACCGTCGAACTCCTGCCACTCCGTCGTCACCTGCCCTGGCCCGTCGGTGACCTGGTACGCGATCAAGCGCGCCGAGTCCGTTCCCAACGTGTCAGCCACGACCCAGGCGGGCTGCTGGGCAGGGCAGAGGGCCTTGTTGAGATGGGTGCAGGCCCTTGCGAGGAAGAAGAGGTAGAAGCGACCTGGAGGACGAGCCTTCAGTGTGAGTTTTAGGATAGACAAGGGAAGGACCGGAGCTGTGGCGGTACACTGGTCGTCCTTGGCTGCCTGGGTCAAGATCGCCGAGCGGGTACATCTGCTGGTAGAAACCTTCCAGGTTCTTCTGGACGTACAACCCAGACACCTCCACCCACTCGCACATGGAGGAAGCGACGTTAACCCCCTGAAGATCGATGTCACGAAGAGGAGGAGCGAGGGGTAACGAGCGAGAGCGAAAGCAGGAGCAGGATCAGGATCTGGAGCAGGAGCAGGAGCAGGAGCAGGAGCAGGAGCAGGAGCAGGAGCAGGCTCATACCGCGGCAGACTTCGGTTTGACTTCAGCTGCTGCAGGAAGGTGGCAACAGAGGTAGCAAGACTCGACGCCTGTCACAGGGAACTGACCGCCGCTGGTCGTTTGCTGGAGTCGTCGAAAGTCAAAACCAGGTCAACGACGCCAGTAGCATCACCTGAGTGGCCATGTTCAAGACGTTGATCTCGGCGTTGGAGTGCAGGGTGAGGTAGTCAAGCATGGTAGTGTAACTGCCGCACGAGTCAGCCGTCTAGCTGCGCTGCACAACCTCAGCTTGACCTGTCCAGCGAGCATCCCGAGCATGCCATGGGGTTCGCGGCTACTCCGCCTGGGGTGGGAGGAGTGAGGAAGAGAAGCAGGGAAGGCTCGTCGCTCACTTGTACAGCAACTCGGCTGCGGCTCCACCAGGTTGAAGAGAGTCTTGCGTACGGTAGACAGCGTCTGCCATTGACCCCACGCGCCGCTGCTGCCGTTGTAGACTGGATCCCAGTTGCCCTGTCATATTCTGTGAGATAGAACCCTCCTCCTCCTCCTCCTCCTCCTCCTCCTCCTTTGCCTTCCCTTCCTTTAGTGACTCCGTTTTCCCTCTCCCTCTCCCTCTCCCTCTCCCTCTCCCTCTCCCTCTCCCTTCCCTCCCTCCTCGTCTCTCCCCTCCCTCTCTTTCCCCTTCCGTTTCTCCTCCTCCTTGCGTCAGTAGCGCTCACCTCCATGTAGTACACCCTCAAGAAGTCATACACGTGGGCAGGAGTGCTTCCTCCCCCGCAGTCACAGCAGACGTTCGTCTCGTTCAGCTGCAGAATAGCTGTCAAACAACCAGCAGACCGACAACAACGCTGCTCTCACCCCATAGGACGCCGCATCCGTCACGCTGTTTGAGCACAGGGCAAGCGTCAGGACAGCGGGGAGAGGAGGAAGAACTTGCTGACCCGTTCAAGGTACATCCAGGTCCGCAGTAGGGGATAGAGTTCATCACTGAGACCTTGAGGTCCATACACTGACCCTCCTTGCTGTAGCAGGTGTCAGACAGCCTGTGGGTAAGATGAGGAGGAGGAGAGGTCACCGGCGGTTGAGGATGTTGAAGTCTAGCGCGAACTTCTTCTCGAGATCTACACAAGTCCCTCCGAACTCGCCGCGAGACGCGGCCGGAACGCCTCCCTGGAGGTCTGGAAGCAAAAATGTCACCTGGAATGTAGAAAGAGGGAGGGAGGGAGGGAGGGAGGGAGGGAGGGAGAGAGAGGGAGGGAGGGAGGGAGGGAGGAGCAAGTCTGGGAAGTGGAAGAAGTAGGATGTAGCAGGGAAGGGATTGACTTTGTAAACAGGTCTCAACCTCTTGCTGGAAGCCTCATGAGGAAGATTTGCCTGCCATTGGCCAACGTGTTGGTGTACAAGCTCTCGTTGACATACGTATAAATGCCGTTGATGGCCGCGATCGCGGACCCGCTGACCGTCACCTGCTGCTTCGCTGCGTCTCGTCTCAGCGTCAGGGACCACTTGGTCTGCATGTCGTTGATGACGTTCTGGATGTCGCACAAGACCGTCAGGCAGACGTACTTCTTGAAGGACGGCAGTGAAGGCAAGTACACGTCTTTCAAGCTCATGTACACGTCCCTGTCGATCAAGGTCCAGACCAAGGTGGTCGAGGAGATGGAGAAGGTAGTCATAGGTCGGAAGGTGGAGCAGGGCACGTTGGCGCAGTCGATCCTCGGGGCAGGAGGTCTGGGGTCTTGGTTGACGAACTTGTCGTACTTCCAAAGCATATTCCCCTGATACATGTCACCTGTGAAGAACAGAGTCCTGTTCCCTCTCAGCCCAGGGACGAAGGGAACGACGTCGAGGTTGCTGGTCAGCACGACGATGCCGTTGGTGTCGGGAAGCAGCAGCGTCTTATTCTCATTGTCCGTCCTCTCCACGCACAGGGAAGTGCTGAAGGAGTCATGGTTGGCCGACATCTGCACGGGACAGGCCCCGTTGATCTGGCCGTCTATGAAGACTCTGCTCAAGGGCTCCGGCCTGACGTCCCAGTAGCAGAACTCAGTGGAGCTGATGTTGGAGCAGTTGGAGATGTTGCCGTAGCGGCTCTGCCCGATCTGGATGTACTCGCCGAGGAGCTCAAGGGAGGAGCTGACCCGCATGGTGTTGGTGTTAAACGTCTCGAGGCAGAAGTCGGGGAAGGGACAAGAAGGGCTGTCAAGCTCCAGACCGAAGATGTCTCCGGCGGCAGATCGCAATGGCTGGAAGCGAACGAGATCCCTCTGGGCTCTCGTCGCTCTTGACCAGATCTCCTCCTTGACCAGCTGCCGCCGACTTTCCAAGTCCGCGCTGAGGCTCAGGATCTCCGGTCGCTCCAGGTAGCCTGAGGAGTTGCGATCGTAGAACTTGAAGAGGTCGGAGACGGTGATAGCCGTGGGGTTGGCGTTGGGCTTGCAGATGGGGTCGTTGAAAGTGTTGTAGAGGGGGCAGAAAGGCCAGCTCTGGTTCTGGAGCTGGTAGGAAGAGAAGTAACCCTTGGCTGACGTGGTTTGCCCACAGTTTGGAGGAATCAGGGAACATTTCATGGCAGGAATGTTGTCAAAGATTCTGTTCAGGATGAGGTGGACATTGGATGGAAGGATCTGCTGCAGCTGGTAGACGTTCAGCATCATATGGTTGCTCACATCGAAAGGATCATTGATGAGCTGCAGCAGCTCTAGAGTCGCCCCCGTATCTGACAGACTCTGAAAGCTGAGAAACATGTTGTCCTTGTGGAGGTTGTCCGGCCGCCCGACCCCGAACTGGAAGTACCCGGAGGGGATACGGTGCTGGGACCCGATGCGAACTGATCCAAGTCCCACTGCCGTGTCGTTACACCTCTGCTCGCCCAACATCTTGCAGTCGTTGTTGCACATGTCCACCACCGGCTGGCCACATCGTGTCAAGGGAATGTTGTCGAGGCACTGGAGGATGTTCAACCCTGTCCCCCTCACCCCGCACGAGACGCCGCAGCTGCTGTTGACCAGCTGGCCGCATCGTGTGGAGAGCGCAAACGCGTTCGAGATCACCAGCCTCCTCTGAGAGTCGACGAAGCTGTAGAGGGGAACGTCCCCGTGGTCCAGGTCAAAGTTGAATCGAACTTCGTCCACCACTTGATTCGGAGGAGAGACGATCGACCAGTCAGGCTCTGCGTTGCCGTTGGCCCCATCCCCGTCCCACCACCGCGCGCCCTCGTGGTCCCCCTCAGTGTCTCCCCATCCCTTCAACCAGCTGCTCCTCGACCCGACCAGCACGGGGCTCAACCCCCACCCGATCGCCTCCCGCACTGGCTGCGAGGACGCCGACGGGTCGGTATTGCCGTACTTTCCCCAGACTGGCCTCTTGCCCAGCGGGAATGCCGTCGGAACTTTGATCGACCCTTGGAGGAATCAGTCAGTCCTGCGCTATCTACAGCAAGCAGCAACTTACCGGTCGGGAAGCGGGAGATATAACCGGTCCTGTAGTAGTGCTCGGGAAGGTAGCCCATGTACCTGCAGAGGTCGGGGATCTCCGACAAGTCTACCGCGGCCGAGAGCATCTTTGTAGCGACAGCGTCCCGTCCGACCTGGTCGATGTTGGGACGAATGTTGAAGACTGGGAAGCCCTGGCCCTGGTACACTACAGGGTGAGTCGGGATGAGATTTGAGCAGCAACGGAAGCACTGCTCCGCCTCCGTCATAGGCCCCAGAACCCCAGTCCCTGTGTCGTACAATGATTCATATCTGCCCTTCGCCGACTGGGAGATCAACTTCGTGACATTGGCGTTGTAGTACTCAAGGAACGCGATCGAGAACTGAAGGTTCGTGAAAATTCCTTCGTCGATCATCTTCCCCAGCCTCGGCATCAGGGTGTAAACGGCTTCAAACCCCCATGCTGACGTAGTGGGCCCGCTGTTGAACACGACGAGGAACTCGCCGCCATACGGACTGATAAGCTTGCTCTGCATTGACTGGAGCGCTGCTGCGGACATGTTGCCACTGAAGATTGCAAGCGGGGCGATGTCAGATCTGTTTCCATTCAGGTAGTTGGTATCTGTGTAGACGGGGAGGCCGGTGATGTCATAGACGTAGACTGAGTCTACGTTGTCTGCAAGCTCGACCTTGAGGAATTGAAGCTGAACGTACGAGCTCTTGGGGGAGGAGATCTTCCAGGCGCAGCTTGTTCCGGTATAGTTGCCAGGCTTGCAGCCTCCTCCGAAGGGAACGCAGAAAGTCGGGATCACCAACGACGCATCTCCTTTGATTCCGATAGACGTCGATACACTAGCCTTGGAGTCAGGCGTGTAAGGAGTCGTCAGAGAAATCTTCATCGTCTCCTTGTCTAAAGTTGTCACTGTTGCGAAGACAGCAGTCAACTGGTCCAGGACCACTCCTGATATGGTAGCTGAGACTTCGAAGGTAAACCTGATATCGCTCCCGACCTCCCAGCCCTCCAGAGGATTGTTCACTAATGTGAGATCGATGGTAGCAGTAGGGTCTTCACTAACATACACGTAGCTGAACAGAGTGATCTGAATGGTTGGTCCGAACTTGTTTGTCTTCTCATATACACCGTAGTTCCCCGGTCCGTCGCCAATAGCTCCTTTCAAAATCGTCGGCGCAGCAGCGAAGCCGGCGTTCTGTACCTTGTCAAAACATGAGAAGTTCAAGCTGTCGGCGTTTGTGTCCTGAGGAATTCCTGGCACTGCCTTCCACCACCCGCTGCTGTTGTACAAGGCCTTCAGATAGTCGAAGGCGCTGGAGTTGTAGTCTAGAGTGGAGCAAGTGTACTGCTGCACGGGACGAGCTGCGCCAGAGGAGTTAGAGATGTTCACTGCGCTGTACTCTGGGACGATGAAAGTCTGCTGAAACGCTGGATCGATACTGGTTGTGTACCACTTCGATGTAGCGAAGGGGATTGGTGAAATCTCGACTTCAGTGCAGGTTAAGTTGGTCATGGGGTTGCAGATCGTCTTCAGAAGCATGTCGCACTTGGAAGAGCCGTTGACAATGACGTCCGTCGAGGAAAGCCTCAAGGAGGAGGAGACGACGTGGCAAGAATCCATAGAGTCTGCTCTAGGGCAGCAATACTCGGTGCAGTTGTACTCCTGGCAGCCTGAGATCTCGTAGGGGGGAGGGAGTTGAAACCCACAGTCTCGTGAGCAGTGCTTCAGCGGCTTCCAGGAAATGCCGTCGCAGGACTCGAAGATTGTATAGCTCCACCTGACAAGCAAGCTCAGTCGCCAAGACAGCAGTCAACCAAGTTCGCGAGGACCTGATCGCTCCCTTTCTCGATGGGGTGCATTCGCCATCATAGAAGCCTCCCCAAGCTGTGTTCCTGCTCTCTGCCGTGAAGTTGAAGGACTGGAAGTACCCGTTCATCACCAGGTCACCCTCGATCGCCATCCCCTGATCACAAACCATCAAACCCACAGAACTGAACAACAGCTCGCCGAACCTTTTGCATCGTGACCATGTCGGACACGCGGAACCCATCCTTGGTCAGCTCAATGTATCCGTCCGCTCCCGCGCATTCTCGCGCCATTAATACCAGAAGGCACAGAGCGAGTTGAAAGCACATCTGCACGCTTTTCTTCTTCCCCATCCTTTCAGTATGGAGACTAGGGAGAGCTCAGCGCTCCTCCTCTCCTCCCAGGGGAAGATGGTAGCACAGAGAGGCCATAGCTGGACAGCAAGCACTCATCTGCCGCTGCTGTTTGTCTTCGCTCCTCCTTCCTCCTCTCCCATCACCGTCGCCTTCTATCTGCCGCCTGCCATTTCCCTAGCGGCTTGACTACAGTGAGTGCGGCTTTTGGCAACAGCCGTCATGTGAGCCTCTATAGTCAATATTATTCGGTTGATATTGACTACATCACCTCAGGGCGGTCAAACGGATTGACTACCTCATTGACTACAGTTGTTCAAGAGTTGACTACAGTACTGATGAGCCTCTGACTCGGCGGTGACCAGACGGGCCGCCCGGCCGCCCGGCCGGGCCCGGCGGTGGCGCCGCCGGCGATCGAACCGTGGCCCGGCGGCGTGCCGGCCGGCCCCAGTGCGGCGTCAGGACGCCTTTCCGGGCCGGGCCCCGGGGCCCCCGCAACGACGGTTTCACTGAGTTACATTTTTCACTGCCGTCTTGAACTTCGAACTGGGTAGAGCGACTCGTCGGAGTGCCGTGTACCGTAGTACGGTACCGCCGCCCGGGGATCGTTCCGAAGTTCAACGGTTCACGGCGGGCCGGGCCGCGGCCCGGCAGATCATGGCATCGGACTCGGCCCGGGATCTGGCCGGGGCACCGTCAGTACCCAGCCTGGCTTTACTCAAAGCGGCCCAGCCCGGCATGAATAAAGGTAAAACACCCCCTTCTTTCACTGGCGAAGATGGGGTATCATGAGGGAGGGGTGGCACTCGATACGCTGGAAGCTTCACGTGCTGCTATGGGATGGGAACATCAGGGAGGACAAGAACAGGACAGACGATGAGAGGAGAGAGAGAGATGGGAGCAGCAGGTGCCAAGACGAGGAGGTGAAGCAGCATGAAGAGTGGGTCATAGTGTTGTCAGTGGGGACAGCGATGTCAGTGGAGACAGCGCATGAGGACTGATCGGACGGTGAGAGAACTTGCGAGAGCTTTGATGCACGACGGACGACGGGCGTGCATCAAGGACTTGCTGCAGGAGTCGTGCTAGTGGATAGAGTGACACGCGGATTGAGGGGAAGAGAAGTCAGGAGTAGAGGCATCAGCAGACTGGCGGAACGTTAGCGGCAGTTTTGGAGCATACTAGCAAAGGGTATTATCAACTGTCAGTTCATGAGATGAAAGTAGAAGAGATAAAGGTGGTAGTGATGAACATGCAGAGGGAAGAGGATGCAAGTGAAAGGTTTTTGCCCTTGCTGTAACCTGACAGCTGTTGTGTAGTCGTCAGCAGCGGCCAGCATGGATGAAGACGAGCTTTTCGATTTCTTCACCAAGAAGGAAGAAAACAGCTCCGGTGGACACAAACAAGTGGAGGAAGAGGAAGCGGGGAAGAGGAAGAGACCAAGTGCCGAGGATGCAGTAGCCAAGGAGGAGGACAACGAGGAGGAGGAGGAGGGGGAGGAGGAGGAGAAACCTTCAGAGTCGAAGAAGTCAAAGAGGAACGAGGATGCCAAGTTGTGCCCTGTGACGGGAGAAGGCAGCGTGAAGATCTACGACATAACGCCGGAGGGACAGGAGTCAGGCAGGAAGGCCTGCCGCCATCACATCGCCATCCCTCCCACCATGACCCTGGAGGAGGTGCAGCGCCCCGTTCCCCCGAAGCCTCCGGCCAAGGAGTACAAGTTCCAGCTAGATCCCTTCCAGGCAGCAGCTGTGAAGAGCCTTGAGAAGGGCCAGTCTGTGCTGGTGTCGGCGCATACGTCGGCAGGCAAGACGGCGGTGGCCGAGTACGCGATCGCCATGGCGCTGCGAGACAAGCAGAGGGTTGTGTACACCTCCCCTATCAAGGCGCTGTCGAACCAGAAGTTTCGAGAGCTGACGGACGAGTTCCAAGACGTGGGGCTCATGACTGGTGACATCACCATCAACCCCGAGGCAAGCTTGCTGGTGATGACGACGGAGATTCTCCGGAGCATGCTGTACAAGGGCAGCGAGCTGATCCGCGAGCTGGTGTGGATCATCTACGACGAGATCCACTACATGCGAGACAGGGAGAGAGGAGTGGTGTGGGAGGAGAGCATCGTCCTCGTCCCTTCCAAAATCCGATTCGTCTTCCTCAGCGCCACCATCCCCAACGCCCCTGACTTTGCCTGCTGGGTTTCCCGGGTCCACTCCCAGCCCTGCAACGTGATCTACACGGACTACCGCCCAACTCCCCTCCAGCACTACATGTTCCCAGCTGGGGGTGAAGGGCTGTACCTGGTGGTGGACGAGGACGGCAACTTCAGGGAGGAGAACTTTCACAAGGCGCTGGCGAGGCTGGACACGTCGGCAGCGAATACGGAGATCGCAGCGAGGAAGAAGGGAGGGCCGGGGACGAAGGGGAAGATCAAGGAGCGCGGAGGGAGCGATATCTACAAGATCATCAAGATGATAATGGAGAAGAACTATGACCCCGTGATCGTGTTCTGCTTCTCCAAGAAAGATTGCGAGGCCCTCGCCCTGCAGATGTCCAAGTTGGACTTCAACAACGACGACGAGAAGGCCAACATCGATATGATCTTCAACAGCGCCGTCGACTCGCTCTCTGCCGACGATCGCAAGATCCCAGCTGTGGAGGGGATCCTCCCGCTGCTGAAGCGCGGCATCGGCATCCACCACAGCGGCCTCCTTCCGATCCTCAAGGAGGTGATTGAGATTCTGTTCCAGGAGGGCCTGATCAAGTGCCTCTGCGCGACCGAGACTTTCAGCATGGGGCTCAACATGCCGGCCAAGACGTGCGTGTTCACGGGGGTGAGGAAGTGGGACGGAGACTCGTTCCGGTGGGTGTCGGGAGGAGAGTACATCCAGATGAGCGGGCGAGCAGGGAGACGAGGGCTGGACGATAGAGGTATCGTGATCCTCATGGTGGACGAGAAGATGGAGCCTGACGTGGCGAAGGGGATGGTGAAGGGTCAGTCGGACCCCCTCAACTCCTCTTTCAGGCTGGGGTACAACATGCTCCTGAACCTGCTGCGGTTCGAGGGGGCGGACCCGGAGTACCTGATCAAGAGATCTTTCTACCAGTTCCAGATGGACAAGCAGGCGCCCGACCTGCAGGGTCAGATTGAGGACCTGGAGGTTGAGAGGAGGCAGCTGGTGGTGCACGACGAGGGGCTGGTTGCGGAGTACCACGAGCTGGTGACGCAGCGGGGGAAGGTGGAGGAGGAGATGAGATCGTACGTTCTGTCCCCCAAGGTCGCCGTGAACTTTCTCAACCCCGGGAGGTTCGTGGAGTGCTTTGCAGACGAGACGCATGCTCAAACATGGGGATGGGGAGTGCTGGTGAGCTTCAAGAAGGCGGAGAAGGAAAAGGACAAGGGCAGCCCTGGCGCCTCGTACCTCCTCGACCTCCTCCTGCCCTGCTCGACGAGGAAGACTATCATCCTCCCGACTGGGAAGGAGATGCCGGTCGGGGACAACGACTCGTTCCACCCTCCTCGGGAAGGAGAAAAGCATGAGATCCAAGTGGTGCAACTGCCGCTGTCCATGGTCAAGAGTTTGAGCTCGATCAGAGTCTACGTCCCCCAGGACCTGCGGTCGGCAGAGAACAGGAGGTCAGTCGGCAAGACCATGTCAGTGGTGCAGGAGCGGTTTCCCGATGGCATCCCGCTGCTGGATCCTGTGGAGGACATGCAGATCAAGGAGGAGGAGTTCCAGCGGCTGGTGCGCAAGAGCGAGTCGCTGGAGACCAAGGTGAAGCAGCACAAGGTGAACAAGAGCAGTTCCAAGTATGCAAAGGCGTACGAGAGCTACAAGAAGAAGCTTGCGATTGCGTCCTCCATCGCTGTGCTGCAGAAGAGCATGAAGGGAGCGAGCGGGATGGTGTTCAGGAGCGAGCTCAAGGGGATGAAGAGGGTCTTGAGAAGGCTCAAGTACACGGACGGGGAGGATGTGGTCCAGATCAAGGGGAGGGCAGCCGCAGAGATCGACTGCGGGGACGAGCTTGTTCTGACTGAGCTGATCTTTGAAGGAGTCTTCAATGACCTCGCGCCTGAGGTATAGGATCTAGCTCCCTCCTCCCTCACGTTTCTAGCTCCCGCCCTGCGTCTCTGCTCCCCCTCGCACTTCATCTCTCCTCCTAGCCTTCAGCCCCTCTCCACTCCTGAAAGTCTCATGCTTCGCCTTTTTACCCCCACCACTTCTTTCTTTCCCTTCGTTCCCTCCCTCCTCGTCCCCTCCCAACTTCCCTTCCTCCCCCCCTTCCCCTCCATCCCTTGTCTCCTTTCCCCTTCCCCCCCCCCCCTCCTTCTCGCGTCCTCACGCTCTCCTCCAGGTCTGCGCTGCTGTGCTCTCCTGCTTCGTCTTCGACGAGAAGACCGACGAGAACCTCCGACTTCCGGACGAGCTCAAGAGGCCCATCGACGTGCTCAAGGACAAGGCAAGGAGGTGGCGACCGTGCAGTCTGAGAGCAAGCTACAAGTGGACGTGGAGGAGTACGTCAAGAAGTTCAAGGCTGGGCTAGCGGAGATGACGCTGAGGTGGTGCCAAGGAGTGAAGTTCGTCGACCTGATGGCTAAGTCTGAGGTACCCAGCCCTTGGTCTCTTGCTTCTTGCCTGCCTGCCTGCCTGCCTGCCTGCCTGCCTGCCTACCTGCCTGCCTGCCTGCCTGCCTGTCCGTCTGTCCGTCTGTCCGTCTGCCTGCCTGCCTCGTTCCGCTTCTCTTTCTCTGCCTGATGGTCTAGCAGATCTTCGAAGGGAGCGTCATCCGATGCATCCGCCGACTCGAGGAGCTCGTGACACAGCTAGCGGGTGAGCTAAAGAGAAGAGGGAGGGAGCGAGGGAGGACGGGAGGGAGCGAGGGGAAGGAATGAGGGAGGGAGGGGGATGGTGGCGGATGTTTGCATGTGGAAGAAGTGACTTGCTGTAGGTGTATGTAAAGTTATTGGCAACACGGAGCTTGAGAAGAAGTTCAAAGAAGCGTCGAAGATGATGAAGAGAGACATTGTGTTTGCAGCTTCCTTGTACTTGTAGAACCTTATGTAGATTGGAGACAGCCTTTGTTTGAATGCACATTACATCCTCTTAACGAGTCACTCTCACCTGCGGCCACATGATGCCGCAGTCACGGTCTTCAACGGCCGGCGACTTGGCGATCATCCGAGTCCGCTCGAGTGGTCGTGCGGCCCGGCCTGCTGGTCTGCCGCAGACTCCGGTGTGGGCCCGGGATCCGTTCCGGGCTGATCGGCCCGGCACTAGTCCGACTAGTAAGTGTTTGCCAAGTTGCGGCCCGTCGACTTCCGAGTTCGGAAGTTCACCCGGGCCCCGGGCCCCGCGCCCAGGGGGCTCAGTGGCCGGGCCGGCCGGGCCCCGCGGCGGCACCGCTGCGGCACCGTGAATAAATGACGGGTATGTGGGGGACGAGGGGCTCAACTCCCGTTCGCTGGTAGCGACACATGATGCTGGCAGATGCCGGATAACCGCAGACCTTCGGAAGATGCAGGTGAAGAAGCGAGAGAGAGAGAGAGGAGGGAGGAAGGGAGGGAGGGAGGAGAGAGAGAGGAGAGAGAGAGAGAGAGAGAGAGAGAGAGAGAGAGAGAGAGAGAGAGAGAGAGAGAGAGAGACGACGACGAC